TGATTTGGAAATGAATTTACTCTTTGAATATTTTTTTTAAAACAATTCGTGATTTCATCTTGAACGATTTCCTATGCATGAAAATTATAAAAGATTTACTTACAAAAAGTTTTTTTTTTTTTTTACTAAACATATTTGTTATTATATATAAAATTTGATCAAACATCTTTTCCTCTTTAAAAAAAATCTACAAAGATTTTTGCCTAAAAGATTTTATTTTTTGAACTCTTTAAAAATTAGATTATTTACTTATTTATAGATTGTGGAAATAAAGTTACAAAAATAAAAGGTTTCGTAAGAAACAAGTTAAGTACCTACAAATAATTTTAAATATTTATGAATAAGTTATAATATTTACGAATGGTTTAGAACATTTAAGAATACTGTAGAATATTTAACCTTAAATTATAAATTATTAAACAAATGAAATATTTCTTATTCGTTTCAAATCGAATAGTTTTGTTATTCTTATCCGTAAAACCTAATCGAAGCAAATATATATGAATCGGATAACGAATAATTCGTTTTAGGTGTATAGCTTAAGATTATATATACGAGAACAAGCTACTGATAGGGTGGGAAATTTCTCATTCCCACCCTTAGGAACGCCTATGCCCTAAAAGAATTAAATATAAGAAAAGATTCAAAATAATAATTTCACTATACCATAAATTTAAATCATATTATTTCAGATTTTTTAAAAAATAATAAATTAAGATATAGCTTTAAAATAAATAATTTTTTTTTTGGTTTACAGTGTTTTTATTCCTAAATAATATAATCCCTTTAAATTAATTTAAAAAATAAAATATGTTTTATTTAAGAAACGAATTTTAAATATTGATCTAAAAATAACTTAATTGATATGATTGATACAACAATATTATTTTAATTTTTTATTTATTTTGAAAGCCTTTCTTTACTTAAATTTGACAACTTGCAACAATCATGATAGATTGCTATAGATTTCCCAGGACAATTATTCTATTATGTAAATTGCAATGTATTCTGCGTTAAAATCTTTCAATAATATTCAAAAAATGCCCTTGACTTTTTTTTACAACTTTTAAGTCATCATTTCTTCAAGAATAACGATATTTTATTTAAAATATTGGAAATTTTTTAGCATATCAATGAGATACATTGTTATTTTAGAAATTTAATCTGCATTTTATAAATCCCTATTTAGAAACACTATGCAATATCATATCTCACCTTATTAAAATTTTTATCAACCCCCCCCCCTCCCTTACATAAATTCATGGTTAACACGATTATCTGCTACTTTTACATTTTATTTAGCCCTGTATATTAGTGATCTGCATCGGGCCTAATTTTTCAAGCCTAGCCCGAAATTTATTTGATAAAGTTTTGCCCGGCTCGACCCGAACCCAAAATTTTTTTTAAAAAATTTTGCCGGCCGGGCCCGAATTTATTTAAATATAGAAATTAATTTTTATAATTACTCAAAATAAACGATATAAGTTATTTGGCGTCTACTTTCTATAAATAAAATCACATATTTTTATTTTACTTAAAAAATTCAACATAAAATTGATAAATTTAGATATATTTTAAAAAATTTCTAAGGCCAGACCCGGCCCGGCCTGAATTTTCTTAAAAAATATTAGGCCCGAAGCCCGTTCGGGCTGGGCTGGGTTCTGGCCGGGCCTACTTTTGCAGATCTCTACTGTATATTATCAAATCAACAGTCTTAATTCTTACTTTCCTATTGAAGAATTGCAGGGCTTAAGAAAATGGAAGTCTCAGTATTTGAACTCAAGTATCCATTAATTATATTTTACTATAACGGTAAAGTACTTGCAGATAATCATATAATTATAAATATGTGTAATTTCTTTTGATTACCCAAAAACCTTTTTTTTTGTTTGGGTAAGTTATATAGAATAGAGGAATATCATATCACATATTAATTACCTAATTATAGAAAGCCCCCATCCCTCCCATCATATTATATGAAATTATAATCACCCCTTAAGAGTTCTTTTCAATTCTTTTTAATTCTTTCCAATGTTTTGTAAAAATAGGACTTAATCGAAAAATACATTTGTTGTCTTGTTAATGGTGTTGTCGAGAAAAATATGTTTGCTCAATATATATTATAAATTTATAAGCCTAATTCGAGAATTTTTTTCATTCAAATTCTGACACTTTATTGCTGTTTCGCATTCTTCACCCTCCTACCTCGTATAAATCCTTACCTAATTTAACACCGACACACACAATTATCATATCCAACGAAGAAATAATTATATCTACAAATTCCTTCAACAAAATGTTTTTAAAATTTTTTTAAAAAATAATTTTTTAAACAAAGACCTCCATACCCAGATTCACCAGATCCTTTATGGGGATAACCTTATTGGGTTACAAAAACCTAGCCGAGGTATCCATACCATTGCAATCTGTTCTATATTCAGATTCAAGGGAATACTTAGCAAAAATAATAATGACACGCATTAAACCCGAAGGCTCACATTTCAATTAGGATTTGAAGTCAAAGGGAGGTGCTAAATAGCTTCATATCTATTTGCATATATATTCAAAATCCTCCTCCCAACACCGTAATTATCAAGCTTGGCATATCTCGCGAACATTTCTTAAATTTTTTTATCACAAATTCCTAGATTATTCATAATTCCTTCAAACATATATTGGCATTAAACTCCTCTTCTATTCAGTTCACACGTCACAGATTATAACAAAGACAAAGCAGGAGAATGCACTAGGACCTCTTCTATTCTGCCTTGGTATTCAGGAACACTTCCATGATCTTAAATCCAAATTTGACTTGAACCTAAATACATGGTATCTTGATTAGTGTTGTTAAATGGCTCCATTTGAGCCGATTTTTTTAAAACGGCTAACTCAATATTTTAACCAGAAAAATATTTCCTAAGCCTCATGATTTCGCTAATTGATGTTCAAATCTTATGAACAAAATCTTTAAGCCTGCGTAATATTTTTCCTAATAAAATATTGAGTTAGCCCTTTTTAAAAATAGGCTCAATCGAACCGTTTAACAACACTAATTTTGATGATGAAACCATTTGTGGTTCCCTTCCAAAAATAATAAAAGTTAATTTCTTCAAAACAAATTTTCAAAATATAGGACTCACTCTTAACAAGCCCAATAGAAATCTGCTTCCTTTATAACAGTTATTTAGAGTTATCGAGCTCTAAAAGTAGACCTTAATAACCTTTCCTTATTAGGATACAGAGGTATCATTATCCAAAATTTCTAAAAATATCCTTAACATGAAAATTTTTTTAAATATACTCTCAACTGACCAAAGCCTTTATATTATTTCCTATATATTCCAAAAAAATTTGCATTTATTCCGCTCATACTTGTTTTCCATTTTGAAAAATTTTATAGAAATTTTGGAAACACTTTTTAAATCTTTAACCATGTTCAACCGGAAATTATTAATCACCTAGAAGGGGGAGGAGGGGGGGGATTGACTTAATATACCTCTATACTCTGTCCCTTTCCTCTTCCCTGTCTTCCCGTTTAACAAATAATTGACTAATAATTAGTTTCATTCCATATCTACCAACGATAAATTACTTGATCAAGCTCTTTTACAATGTGGCAAGAGAGTCCCCTGATATAAATATTTTTTTACCCCTAATATCAAAAACATTTATAAATTTATCTTCCTCTTTATCAAAACGAAAAAAAAAATCGGAGGTCACGAATGGTTGTAAGCCTTGTGCCGAGCAAATCCCTGGGGATTCTCTTAATCAATAAACAACTGACCTTAGGACACAGACTCGAATGCGACCAAGTTCAGCCTAATCATTGCATGGACTCCAACCTCCTAGTAAATGCCAAGGGAGGGAAGACATGGCCTTAGTTGCATTAAAAGTCAAGGTCGATATCAACAACACTCTTCTCCTATTATATTATTAAGCCTCATTATTCTAGAACCTTGCAATCTTTCAATAGATGGTTTCCTGACCACTATTCCATGGGCTATAGGTAAATTCCTTATTCAGGATTATACATTGTCTCATCATTCCCTCCAAAATAAATCTCAACCTGCTTACTATCTAAACAAAATAAACAAATAAAAAAGCCTCGGCAATTTCATATTCTAGCCAATTGCAACTTCTACCAACGGGCAATTTACTCCTATCACCTTTAGTTTTATTCTAAATTTAGCTCACGAAATTAAATTACAAACACTTGAACCTAGGGAATTCTTATTTTTTAGGCAGAAGATACAAATAAACATTTTTTAATTTAACTATTCCTTATTACTAACCCAATTATGTTTTTCTTTAAATTATTTTGGTTCGAAAATTTTTTAATTCATTTTTTAATATATAGTTTCATGTATTACTTTTTTTTTAATACAACTTTATATTTATTATATATTAGAAACATATTAATATTTTATTGGAGGATAACACATTAACATTATACTGTTTTGATTTGTAGTAAATTTATTTTGTATAACATTTTTCGAAATGTCTGATTGGCCGAATCTAAGTCATTATAAACAAAACTTCAACAATTTTTGTCAGATCGTATAATATTATGATCAAGGTCCTACGTTTTGATTTTGAATGCGTATAAACTAAATTCCCACTGGGGTTGAAATTGGATATAAAACATTTTAATAAAATATTTATATGGTTTTATTTCTGGAAAAAATTTATGATGTATTTTTTTTTGTATAAATTAATGTGCTTGCATATTATGTTACAATAATATAACTGTAGTCATTCATCTAGGTTAACCCAAGAGCTCTATAAATAAAAATCTGTTAATTTATATAATATATATCTTTTTATTCATAAATCACATACATTTTTAAGTAGTTAATGTATTAAAATTATATTGATATTATATATTTAAGAATGTTAGAAAAATCATATAAGTTGTTATTCCAAATAAAGTGTAATCTTGTGCCATTTGTTTTTCAACATAAAATTATGATTGTAAAATTATTTAAAAAAAATATATATAGGATGGATCATGGGTCCTTTTTTTTGCAAGATCATTCCATGGCTGCAAGGTGTCTCAGTTACTTCTTCAGTTGCAAATTTATCGGCCATAGCAATCGACAGGTACATACTATATTTTAAAAAATTGAATTAAATTTTTGAAATGGTGAAACTTTTACTTGTCTCTTTGTTTAAATTTCGGGTAATAAGTTCAAACTCAAAAAAAAATAATAAAATAAAAGGTTTAACATATGTAAACTTTACCTGTCCACTGGATAGATTATTTTAAATTTCTTATTTTCGAGTCTGGAAGTACTCTTTAATTTATTCTTGTTTTACTCAAACATTTATTCACATATTTAGATAATCAATATATTTATATATCGAACTTGATCTACAGTATATTCATTGTATCATTTATCTAATCATTCAATTCCTTATGCATAATATATAAAAGGTACTTAGCCATATGCCAAAATATAAATATTAAAAGATCTTCTGAGAAAAGGATACGTATAACCATAATATTGATGTGGATATTCTCATTAAGCATAACCTCGCCCTGGTTATACGTTTTCAAATATTACCCATTCAGATATTCCGATAATGATTTGCACGGATTTACTAGTATAAATTTACCTTCTTGCGCTCATTCAAATAATGACAAAAATGTATCAACCAAAACGTACAAGTTTTTCAGCACTAACTTTACCAATACTCATAATTACAACTACGATTACTCTCAAAACCTTACAAATTTAACAACTATAGTAAATTTTAATCTTAGTCGCATTAAGGGTCTTAATTGGTCTAACAATCCGATTTACCATAATCACCTAATTTACGTGTGCTCTGAAATGTGGACCCACGAAATTTACAAAAAAATGTATTTTTTGTTTATTCTATTCGGGCTTTTATACTTTCTTCCAATGTTTATAATTTCATCCTGTTATTTTATGATCTGGAAAACCGTTTGTCGCCGAAAACTCCCACGACCATTTTCTTACAACGAAAAATCTCAAGATATTGTCAAAAAGTCTAAAATTAAAGTAGCCCAATTGCTTCTTTTCGTTATGATATTGTTCGCCATTTCCTGGTTACCGCTATATGTGTACGGGTTTCGAGTTAATTTTAGTCGAAATATTTTTTCTTCGAATAAACCTCAGATTTCTTTAGATTATAATTTGAATAATATCTATTTTGCGCCTAAATTAGTGAACAGTTCTTTGATTCAATATTTGTTGGGTGTCTCGGACAAAGAAGTTAATGAGATAAGATATTTTAAAAAATATATCATCAATAAAATTAGCAACAGGTTACCTGAAAATATCAACCAGTTATACCCTCAATCTTTTTTCGGCAATTTTTCCAAATTTCTATTACAAGATAATGAGCAAACTTTTTTGAGTGTGTGCAAAAATATACGCGGTCATAATAAACCCGATGGTAAAGGGTTCAATTTAAGTGTAACATCGCTGAATAGATATATAAGTTACTTGACACAAACTTATTTATGTGAATTAGATCTCAATCCTGATAAGAGTAACATAACTCGGGTGAATAAAATGCAAAGGGATCATAGCATTCATATTATGAATAATCTTATACGTCCTTTAACGCAGTGGCTTGGTTTAGCTAACAGTTGTATAAACCCGATATTGTATACCTTCTTCCATAAAAAATATAGGGAGGGCTTTAAATTATTATTATCCACATTGATTTACAAAATCATGTTATGCATTTGTTACGGATCCCCCGATATGTCCGAGAGAATCCGAGAAAATCTAAGGAGGAAAAAATCTAGATCAACGATGATCACTTACAATCCGAATTTACATTATAAAAATAGTACGAGGTCTGTGGTGAGTTTGAGTCGAAACGAGTCTATTGGGTATACGTCGTCATTTAAAAAAAATTCCGAAAAAAGAAGTAATAAAGGTCCTAATACCGAACTAAATAATAATTTATTAGTAGTCGTTCTCAAAAAAAATTATAACGGAGGTAGGAAGAAACATAAAATTTACAAAAATGGAGTTAATGGCGGCTTAGTAACGGATGAGTCTCCTAAAGATATTTGTTTGAAAGATTTCTATAGAAATAATAACAACGTAACTATCAGAAATACCTGGGATAACATTTACACACCCAATAAACGGATTTATAAAGATATAAACGAAAAAAATAAGGGAATTTATCGCAGATCCATTGGAACAACAATGAAGGAAAATTTGTTAGTGTACAAAAACAGTCAGCTAAATGATGTAAGTTCGGACTCTGATGCGAAAACCCTAAATAATAGGTTGGAATCAAATGATGTGGATGAATCTATATTTTATTGAATTAAAGTTGAATGATTTTTTTTTATACCTTTGTGATATATACAATAATTTAGTAGTAAAAGATCTAATAGATTATTACGAATAAGAAATATAAACTTAAATGATACCGTTCTTCCAATTATAAAAATATAGTTTGTATTATAAATTTTAAATCTTCGAAATAAATTAATTAAAATTATATGAATGAATGATTTAATTCTAACTTTTAAATCTTTACTTATTTTATGATTTTGTATGAGCTTAAAATATTGAAAAATAAAAATACAATGTTGTAAATTAGAGCATATCCTTTTTTTTAAAACATTTTGTTTCGGAAAAACAGACTCGAAGTTCATCGGATATTGTATTTCACACGTGATCTCGGCTCATTATATATTTGTATCAGCAATATTAGCTTGTATGCTTAATAAAATAATAGATAAGTAATGAGAATAAACACCTTATTTTAATATTTAGAAAATTACAACTTACAGAAACATATTATAATCACGTTTATTAAGGAAGTTATGAATAATATGGGTACCCAAAGATGCACTACTAAGGACTAGCAGGGTAAATCAATATCACTGAGTTAAATAATATTATATATACTATATAAGAAATATAAAAAATGGAGAAAGGAATAAAATAAATTTTTACTCTTTTTAATAATAACTAATATATATTTATTTTCTCGGTTTGCTTAAAGAAATTGAATAACGGTGGTAGGGGGGGGGGGTTAATACTTTATTGTCAGAAACTACTGCTATAGAAAGTCGCAGTGCAATTATTCAAGACGAGTGGCAGGGAATAGAAGATAACAGTAGTATACTCCTCCGGTGATGAGTTTTGGTAAATAGAAAATTGGATATGATCACAAAATGTTATTATTTTTTACATCATATAATTGGAAATTGGTCTAAATCAGCTTCATTTAATTTAACAAAATGTCTCATATTAATTTTCATATTAAATTTAATAAAATGGAAATAAAATAGATATTAACTTAAAATTATCAAAATTATTGTTCAATACTTAATCATTGCATTACATATAAATATAATTGAGTCGAGATTAGAGCAGGTTTGTGCATTTGACTGGTCAAATTCAATAAATGTTTTTTTTAAGACAACATTAACTTTATTTTATATATAATAGTAAAAAAATGAATCTATGTAATATTAAATTATATTATTTGAAATTCTATAATTAATGTTTCACTCTCCATGGCAGAGTCTTGTTCTGATTTATTCAATATTATCCTTCCTTAATATTTTTAATCAATCTTAGGTTATGATATACTCTTAACAACTTATTGGTTGTCAAGATCTTCAATAAATTTCCTTCTACTTATGAATATTGCCAAACCGACTATCTCACTCTTAACCATATTGATTATAACTTTTATTTTAACTTTTCCCGTATATCAAGAATAATAGTATTTTATTCAAAATATCATAATACAATAATTTTTAAGAATTTTACAATGTAATTTAATAATAATCATAAAATCTACTTTTCCATATCATAATAATCATATTATTTATTATTTAATTCCAACCAATCAACAATATGCAATCGCCTTATAATTATCTATTAAAAATTATGCAAGGCTACGACACCGACCAATTTCTTTCTGGAAATGAAGTATAACTAGGAATTGTTAGTAAGCAATTAAACATTTCTCTTAATATTTAAGGTGGGCAAAGCTGATTCCGATAACTTGAAGTCGAAATCTGATTGTTTTTTATGAAAGTTACTTCTTTCCAAACATTTTGACTATTAAATATACCGCCGCTTTAACTTCTGAAATTTATGATATCATATAAAATAGATCTTATTGGGGATCAATAAATAATCAGCAGTAGGAGCACACAAATTTGGAATGTTTTTTTTTCAAACATATTTTTAATTTTTTTCTTCAGATGGAGAAATTATAAAATCATGGAAATATTGTATTATGTGTTTTCTAACTTAAGCATCTCGTTTTTTACGTGGGCTAGAGTACGTTTGTCCCTTTGCACTTACAACAATAAATAAAGAATAAAATTTTTAATTTTTCGTCCAAAATATTTATTCATTTAATATATTATTGGCAATTTCTTTCGGACAAATATCCTACTTTTAACAGCTACTTTCAGAGATTTCTTGCATATTTATATTTGCTTCTTGCATACATAATGTAATATAAATTGACAAATAGTAATTTTCTTAAACCATGCTTTAGAAAAATTATTATATTTATTTATATATTAAGATTCAATCATATTAATAATAAGAAAAATTCTTTTATTTTTACATTTTAAAATGAAATTTTAATATTATAATATGAAAATCTTATATTTTGATATTAAATTATAACTAAATCGATGTATTGATATTGCAAATATATTTTAAAATAAATTTTAGCCTAATTAGATAGATAAACGCATTAAATATATTAGTTAATTACATCAAAATATTTATTCATTAATAACATTTATCGAGCAAACTTGCAACGTATACATATGATCATACATTGATAACAATGGATTGATATATTTATGCAAGTAATAATATCCCACCTCTCAGATATATTTTTTTTAAATAATAAAGTAAAGGACTTTCATTTAGACATAATTTTTAAATAAAAACTATTATATATTAAATTTAAATATCATATTTATGTTAAATTTGATCAATTTTACACATGTAGGAGGTCATAACTCCTAGACCAACGTTCATCTCAGTCTAGAATTTGTGATAATATAAAGCAGACTGGTATACATCTACAGAAAAAAAGTAATTTATTTTCTTCTATGGACATTTTCAGTTTTGGTTATCAATCGGGTTTCTATTTGAAATTAAATAAAGTGCATTTTCAAAAATTACCAATTTTTCGCTCTTTAAACGGTTTTAGGTGTCAAAAATATATTAAAAATCGTTTTTTTTATCTCTTCCCATTTTTCAAAATATTCTGAGTTTTATATTTTTTTGATCAGTAATATCTTGTTTTATATGCATTTTAGAAAGTGAAATATTGAGAATTTTTTTAGCAGGCGTATAACAAAGCCCCTAACCTCATCTTAAATATGCCCGCTCTCGTAAATATCATTTTAAAATAAAAAAAAATTTCCCCTACACAGCTCTCATACAAAAAAATGTATACAATATATTATGAATTTGAAAGATAAATTAGTAAAAGTTAATAATTTTTTAATTATAGATTATAATTCAAAATCTAAAATAAAAATCATTTTTATAAAAAGAAGTGAAAACCCGTGATTATTTTTAAAATATAGCCAAAGGTGTACAATAAGTGGACCTAAAGATCTCCAATAAATTTATGAGCGAGGGTAGGCCCACCTAATAATGCCCCACCCCCATAACAAAATTCGTGATACACTTATGTTTTGTAAAGTAGGTAATATTTTATTATAAATGATATTAAGGGCTATGAGACTAAGTTAAACATTAATTTAAATTTCTTACTTGTAAATTATACTACGGAGTATAAATTAAAATAAAAATTGTATAATTTTTAAGTCGATATTTATTTTTAATCTACGAACCCTGACACCTTTAAAAATATTTGATAAAAAAATTTATTAATATTTACATCCAATTTTGTGAAAAAATAGAGGAAAAAAAATGTCGAGTTAATGAATGATTATATATCAATCAAATTATGTTTAGCTTAAAAGAAAATAAATGTTTATATTTTAATTTCTATATCTATAAAATTAATTATAGCACTAATTTTAACCCATTTGCTTCAAAAAAATTCAAATAACTTTAAAAATAACGATTATGTCAATTATCACTTATCTAGAGTACATCTTCACTGAAGTTTTATTTAAACATATTGTAAATACTTATTCTAACCTATTTCGTCAAAAAATTTCAAAAAACTTTTATAATAACGATTATGACAATTGTCACTTTTCTATGGTACATCTTCACTGAATTTTTATTTAAACATGTTATCAATACTTATTTTAACCTATTTTCGTCAAAAAAATTCAAAAAACTTTAACGATTATGACAATTGTTACTTTTCCATGGTACATCTTCACTAAATTTTATTTAAACATGTTATCATTACTTATTTTAACCTATTTTCGTCAAAAAAATGCAAAAAACTTTTATAATAACGATTATGACAATTGTTACTTTTCTATGGTACATCTTCACTAAATTTTATTTAAACATGTTATCAATACTTATTTTAATCTATTTTCGTCATAAAATATCAAAAAACTTTAAAAATAACGATTATGACAATTGTCACATTAAAATATTATCCTTAAAAAGATCATATAAAATAACATCAAAAAAGTTTAATATAAATATTTAGAAAAAATTATTAAAAAAGAACCACCTCATTTAATAATAAATGATAATTTTACAAAAATGATAAAAAAAAATTATAAAAGATTTCACCTAAAAGTTTGTTTATTTATCTAATAAAATTTACAATATAATTCATCAATAAAATATATATTTACAAAGAAGATTGTAAAGATCACTAATAAATTATATTTAAAAAAACTTTTTTTAAATATATCCGGGCCGGGCCGGGCCGGGCCTTAATATTTTTTATAAAAATTTTTACATAGTTAATGGTTATAAGATTATATTATAGTTATGATTAATATAATATTGGGTGATGGTTAACACTACCTAACAACCCACAGATCGATCTAATTATTAATTTCCTGCAAATTTACTCAAAGTATTAATATATTTTTTTATAATTCATATCTAAATTTTTACAACATATTTTACCAAAACAATCAAATAAAGGAATATCTTAAATAAGCCCCAATATTCAAGTATTAATATATTTTTTTATAATTCATATCTAAATTTTTAGAATATATTTTACCAAAACAATCAAATAAAGGAATATCACTTCTTAAAGTTTGTAATTGATTTTACTTAATATAAAGCATTTTTTAATTTAAAAATTTGTTTTACACAAGTATCATTTTATTTCTCTTTTTCTCTGTCCCAAATTCAAGCAATTACGTATGTAGTCAGGGATAGATCGCAAAATGACGGAAAACTATATAAAAGATTATATTAAATTACAAGAGGCTCAGGAAGTAAATGAAATACCATCAACCAGTCAAATTACGACTGTTGTTAAACAAACTGAATTGTTTTATGATAAATGGGGCGATGGTAATTCTGGTAATATGTCAATACCCAATAATGAATATTATAATTACATAAATAATAGATAAAACATTTAAGGTGGATAATTTGTTAGTGGTGGGCGGCTCATCAAAGCGAATTTCCAATTTTAGCGAAATTGGCAATTCCTGCTTTAAGTGCAAGCTGTGAGCGGAATTTTTCCACTACTGGGAGAATTCTTGAAGAAAGAAGAAGCAATCTTCAACCTGAAAAGGTAGATATGCTTCTCTTTCTTCATGATAATTTGTGAATTTTTAATATCTTTCTTGAGTATAGGGTTTCGTCAATCATGCTGGTTTTTTACTTTGCAAACTGTCAAATATTTATTGCATTTATTATATTTACCTTGAATCATGAAAGTTTTTAATCCAACATTTTTCATTATTTTTTTTCACAATATTATATAATACAATTATCTTCTTTTGTTAAAAATTTATATTATAAAATAAATTATATTAATATTGTGTAATTAGATTATATTTTTAAAATACTATTTATAATACATGCATTTTTTTAAATAGCGATTTATTTTTATTTTATAAATTAAATAGTAAATTAAATACAATATATTATATTCTCAAAATATTTTCCATTTTTATAAATTAAATATTAGTTTTATTTTTTTTAAATGTAATATAAAATATAGTATATGACAAATATTATTACCATTTTTATGAATATTAGATTTATTTTTATAAATGCAATATAAATTATAGTATATGCTCAAAATATCCATTTTTATAAATAACAGTTTTATAATTTTTATAAATTCAATATAATATTCTCAAAATATTAGCTTTTTACATGCATTTTTTAAATAATAAGGGATAATACTCGCTGAAAAATATGGTAAAATACCTCATAGGTGTATTTTTGTATATACCAGGTCGAATATAATTTTAAAAAATTCCGAGCCGGGCCTGAAATTTTTAAATCCGGGCCGGGTCGGGCCATAAAAATTTTTTTTAAAATATCCGGGCCGGGCCTAAAAAATTTAAAACCGGGCCGGGCCGTGCAAATGGTACCTCTGCAGGTTTATTACATTTACATGAGCAGCATATTATTTTTTTTATTAAAAAAACATCAAATAAATAAATTTATTTTCATTTCAAAATATAATTAAATCATATCATGTTTATTTGTTGATAATAATAAAATATTTACATTAAATATAAATAAAATAAATTAATAATAATTAATGCTAGGTAAGGCATCGATGCAGAATTTTTAACTAATTTATATTTGGCCGATTTATTCACCTAAAATCTCGGCTAAGCCGTTTTGTAGTCGACTAATCGAGATCGTTAATAGATGTTCAAACCTTTCTGTCATCTATGAACAAATTTTCAGGCCTGCGTAATATTTTTTAGCTGGCAATTCTAAACCATCTAGCCGTTTAACATTATTTAAAAATAATTATAATATATTTTTAAATAAAAATATGCATAACATTATTTATTCCAGTAAATTTATTATATATATATTAGAATTTTTAAAAAATACATTCTTCTTATACCCTAATAAAGAGAAAATATATTGTAACTATTTTTATTTATAACGCCCTCTGTAAATGATTTTTATATTCTTCCTAAATTCATTATCTTATCTAGCACATTGGTCATAGACCTGCCAATGAGCGAACGTGAATTATGAAGGCCCACCCTTCATAAAATTATGCCAATTTTTTTTCAAGGATACCGACAAACCTTCTACCCAGATGAAACTAAATTAATGAGTGTAACTAAACCTATGTCATAGTAAATAATTTGATTTAGTAGAAAGAAAGTATTTTAGAATAAGAAATAAAATATAGAAATACTGTTTAAAGTATTCCAAATACAATTGTCAAAATATTAAACTAAATTAAAAACTTTAAGAGATACTTTATCATTTTACAATAAAATTTAAATTCTTATTTCCCTCATTAATATTTTTACTTAAATATATTGGTAATAAACATATATGTTTCATTGTTCAAAATTAGGGTCTTCTCAAAATACTTTTTTATATTTTACCAGTAATATAACAGAAGATAATTTTAAAATAAATTTGGGTTATTTCTTAAGGAGAATTTTGAAAGCTGCAGAATGATATATAATTTGTGACTTTGTGGACTAAAAAAAATCTAGGTAATTTAGTATTCATTAAAATAAATTAATGCTCTCATTGAAATTTGAAAGCCCATAAATATGCAGATATTTGAACTAGAGCTTTAAAATTTTGATTTATATGAAATATACACACTATATAACCAATAGCAGTTTCATTTATTTTAAAGAGTCATCTAAAATCTTATTTTTTTGGTGAATTTATCATGCAATGTCCCTTATTATAATTTGACAAATGTTCTTGTTAAAATGTATAAAATCAATAATTTTATTATATAACATTATCATTTATATAAATTAAATTATCTATAAATCACAATTAATGGAAATTTTTAAAAATATATAATTATGTTACAAAGCTTTCATATCATAAAATAGGCAAAATAAATTAAATTTAAAATGGAAATTGATGTCAAAGTCGAATGTAAAAATACATTGTAAATTTAACCCTGCAGTGAATTTATTATAAAAAACCCTATAAAAAATTTATTAATTTGTATTTAAATGTCATCATTGGTTTTTTTCTTTCTAGATCTAAATCTACATACTATTTTATCACAAAGATCTAAAATATTTGAGGATTTGAGTAATTTTTCATTCAAAAATTTGTATCCAACATTTTTTTCAATAATTCTGGTAGGGATTAAATAGTCAATTAACTCTTTATCATCTGGTATAGGAGAATTTGGAACCACAAATGAGGCATGATGTAAATCCCCATTTATGTTGTCTTCAGCCAATATTATTTTAAATAAATGAGTCGGAACTGCAACATTATTTTCACCAATTACCTATAATTTTTAATATATTATCCAAATTAGAAATAGCATTTTACTTCATATTTTATAAATTTTTTTTGATTCTCAAATTCATTTGGAAGAAAAATTGGACCTGTTATGACTCTAATTTCTTTATATTTCAAAACAAGTTTTCTACAAAATCCTTCAAATTTATTCCAAAATTTTGCATTGTTAACAAAGTCCTGGGGTACAATATTTGTCAAGTAAAACGATTCATCCATATATTGCTTAAGTAAAAATAAATTTTGTAAAAGTTAAATTATTTTAATAATAGCACATGAAGACAATCTAAAATTTATTAGTAATATACACATCCTAATTAGATTACCTGATTGTTTTTGTGATTTCCTGCAGCACTCATATGACCCCTAGACCAACCAGATTTTTTGTAGTCATCATTAGTTGCAGAAAAATCTTGAAGAACTCTAGGATCTGGGCGGAACTTATTGTCATCTCTTTTAGCTTGACCTACCAATAATAAGTTATATATCACTTTAGTTTATTATACCAAATATTTTATCCTTTGTTATAACTTCAGCTACCCAAAATGGTATTTTACGTGAAGCATCATAAGCTAAAACATGGTTTTTATATGTGAGTATATTAGGAGGATGTATGGGTAAACCATATTTGAAAATATATTTTGCTCTTCGTTTTGTAACCCATTCATCTAATATAAACAAAATAAATCAAATTTAAAAAATTTATACTAAAACTATCATATGAGAATATAAGGCTAAATGTTAAAGCTGCAACACTCGAACTAATAACCACACCAGTTATAAACCCATTAAAATATGGTGTACTTAGGTTTTTCTAAAATTTCAAAAATAATTTCATGTTTTTGAGAAAGCATACCTTGAGGATAACAATTTTATTTAGCATTAATCCACTAAATGTGTGAATAAATTAAATAGGGTTATAAATGGAAAATAAACAAATAATAATATAAAGGTAAATGAAAATGTGATAAATAACTTAATTAGTAGATATTTCATAAAAATAATTATATAATATCAAAGGGTAGTTAAGCATAATGGATTTATAATTATTCACTGATTAGATTGTATTTATACCATTAGAATTCTATAAAAGAGAAAAATCTATATTTTATTTTTTTGAGAAGTTTAATTTCAAGCAGGAATTCGACTGTTAGTTATAGATGGAGTTGAAAATTAGTTCTAGGCTTTTCTTCCTCAGCAATATTTAATTCACAAAAGAATGAGATACTTATTTAGTTGCTCATTATCTAATATATTTTGTCAGAAGAAAGATTATAAGGGAACTTCCATCTATCACTTCTATAATCTATATCCGTCTAAGAGCGGTTTAAGGTTTTAAGTATCAATTTGGCCAACAATTAACATCAGATCATTTTCAATAGTTCACCATTTGTGTTATGTAATCACATCTGCATAATGTTAATTGTGAGCTCCATGTATTTCAAAAACAGGCAAGTAGCACCCTATTTTCCAAGAATTAGGACACAATTTTTTAAAAAATTGGTCCTGTTATTTTATTTAAATAAAGTTTAAAAAAAATAATATTTTAGTTTTATATTAAAATAATCATAATACGAACCTATTTCATTTTAACATTTATAGGAACCAGAACCCTTTTTAAAATGACAAAGAACAGGAATCCGTTATAATCAGCGTCATATTGAGTGGGTGGGGTCACTTTGCATCCCATTTTTCCTGAGGGGAGTAGGAGGTAGGATAAATTTATTGGGGGATTAATTTTTAGATGAAATAGGACAAAATTAAAAATTTATAATGTTTATAGGCCTATTATAATACAATGATATTGCTGATCATCAACCTTCATATATTTCAAACAATCATAAACATCATTTTCCAAATAAAACTTTCTGCTATTGCAATTTAAAAGGATCAAACATCTTCAAAAAACTCATATTCATGTCATACAATATGCTAGGTGGCGAAAAATGTTTGGAAGGGGGGGGGGGGTAAGCATAAGTTTTTGAGGGGGTTTAGCATCTAGTGGAAATCTTTTCATGTAGATACAGATTACAACACAATCAGAACCCCATTTGGTCCATATTTCAAAGCTGATTACAACTGTATTTAATTTTGTTTATATAATTAGATATAAAACTACATTCAGGATGTTGTCGTCAGCCTCCACGTAATTTATTTTAGCCCGCCTGCGCCTTTTCGCACAAATTATCAATCTCACCTTCCAATATTGATAGGCTAATGATAGATACTACCAAGTCAACGTATAGCATTTTTTTAAATACCAACCTAATTTGCTAAATACCGACCAAAATTTACTAAAATGAAATAAGATTTTTATTATTTAACATATATTATAACGGAATAATGTGGTCGAGTCCGGCCTCCTATATATATCATTCCCCCAAGGACGGAACCACCAAATTGTATTAGGATAAATAATATGATCTTTGCTGGGATACGAACTCAAAACATAATTGATAAGCGACGCTCTTGCCGACTAGGCCATATACACTTTCCAAAATTCACGATTTTTTAAATATATATTATAAATAAATGTAAGTACCTATCTAAATGAAAAATAAACAAAATACTATTTAATAGGTACTACCTTAAGGCAACCTATCTATTTATTATTTGGCTTGCGCAGAAGTCTTGAAATTAGATTTTGGCTACCCATTAAAAATTATAAAAATATTAATCAAATGAAAGCCCATGTGTAAACCATAAAAATTAGAAAATTACAGATCCGAAAACACTAGTCTCTTTTAAAAGATTATAAAATAAACTGATATGCCCAAAATCTCTACCAGCTTTCCAATAATTTAAATCGGATGTCTTAGAATGTTATTCAATTGGTCTCTCGAGACCAAAATTTTGTCATCGTTAAATTGTATATATTTATCAGGGTATCAACCCGATGGTAGCCTGTTTCCGTTCCGTTCCATTCCAGTTTTTGGTTTTAAATTTTAAAACCGGTTAGTTCTATTTCGGTTCATTCCGGTTTACAGTTTCCCCATTTCGTTCTGGTTTTTATGTTTTAGATTTTTATAATTAATCATCATCTCATATAATTTTGATGACATCTGATATTCTAAAATATTTTTTTTAAAAATAATAACCAAACAAATATTAAAGAAAATATATGAAAAAATTACAAATAAAAAGATGTAGGGAGACTGGGGAGCGTTCTGAGCCCTAAAAAACAAACGTCTATATATTACTTTATAATATTCAACAAATAATATATAATTTTATTCCACTTATTTACTTTTATGCTATACATAAAAATAATTTCTTTAAAAATTATATTTTTTTAACAGTATTAATTTTTCGGAAATTTTTTTGGGAAAGGATGAAGTATAGCGAGGTAGGATAAGATTTCTCGTGAGGTGCTTTTGAACTGCAAAATATTGATCATTTTTTCAATAAAGAAATGATATATATATTTATCTTATTGCAACATCTTTATTGATAAAAATAACCCTAGTGGAAAATAGTTATAAAAAATTAGTAAAATTTATTGACAATTTAAAAATAAAGAATGGATTAAAATTACTAGATCCATGTGCCCAAAAAGAGCATTTCAAAAAAAAGACCTATAAATAATTTAGATGCTAATAGGCAATTGTATAATTTAGTTTCTTACCCCTTCTTGAATATTTGTATTGATGTAGACAATTTAAAATATTGTTATCTCATTAATCTTGATTTATATCTTTTTACTGGTCCATAACTTAAATTTGTTTCCGCCTTAACGGCTATCAAGTACGGATTTTCATTAAATATATTCAAGATTTCACAATTGATAGTTGTTTTTTTTCTATTATAATTTTTTGCCATATTCAAATTTTCAATAAATTTTAAAAATTCCTTATCTTTAATATTTAATTTTTTGGTTATGTAAACTAGAGATCTGGCTTGGGTACGGGTTGGGCCTATTTTTTAAAAAAAATCGGGTTCGGGCTTGATATATTTTAAAATAAATCTAGTCTGGTCGGGCCTTGGAATCTTTTTAAAAATATTTAAATTTATCAATTATATGTTGAATTTTATTTTATTTATAGAAACTAGACTTCATATTCATATAACATATATCTTTTATTTTGAGTAATTATAAGAATCAATTTCTATGTTTAAATAGATTCGGGCCGGGCCGACATGACTTTAATATTTCCGGCCGGGCTAGCCTGAAAAATTAGACCCGATGCAGATCACTAATGTAATATTTTTTTTATTCAAATAAAGAATTTTAAAAAGAATTTCTTTTATATAAGATAGTTAAATTAAAAACTTTTTTATTTATTATTTTTTTTGAGAAATTACAACATTTAAAAATAGGTTTTGGGTATAAATCATATACTGTGTTTTAATTTTATATGTGATCCGATATTAAAAAATTTTATAGCCACATATGCATAATATAGTTATACAATATTTAGTTAAAAAATTAAACGTTAGTGTTGAACTCTAGAAGAAGACTCCAAGGCTTGCCAAAATCTGGGGCTCATAGATATCCGGTCTCCTACTAATTTTTTTTAAAATTAGACCCAAAAAATAAATAAATATTATTTTAACCGTTATGAACCGGGTTAAACCGGTAAGATGATATTTATAACATTTCAGTTTTCTCTTTTCAAAATTCTCTTGTAGCGGTTACGGTTCGGTAGATAATAACGGGTTATTTCTGGTTTCCGATTCGGCTCGATACCTTAATATTTATTTGAGCAGCATCGATTTATTTTAAATTAATTAAACGCGTCAAACTTGGTAAATTAATTTTCATTGCTTTTTAAAATTAATAATGGGCTTGTGTATATTAAAATGACACAATTCTAAAATACGACTATTCTTATGTAAATTTTCTTGGCCTCAATGATTACATCCTCAATTGTGAAAAAAAAATGTAATATGACATATATTTTCAAAACCACAAACAATTGTTTCAAGAATAAATATTGTAGCTAGAGATTTTTGAAAATTTAGATGTTATAAACTTGTAAACATCGTACATAATCAGAGACATGCGGGTCAATCCCGGGCCCTAAACACAGGCCAGATTTAAATTTTTTTCTAATATACCCGGGCCAGGCCTAAATTTTAAAAAAAATACCTTATATATTTCAAAACCGAATATTTAAAATCGCCATTATTAGGCTATAAAAATTAAAAATAAATGTAATATATTTTTAAAAAAATGCGGTCCCTACAAATGGTACCTTCAGGTCTCTGAACATAATATAATATTTTAGCAAAATGGTTCTACAAAAACATTTTAGCACTAAATAAACCCTTTTAAAAATGAATCACGCTATTAGGATTTAATAAATCTATATTATACATATAATTTCGCTCTATAATTTTATCTGCCACAGTTTAAGTTCTTTAAAATTTTAAAAGAGGGTTCAGGTTACGATTTCGAGTGTAATATCTCCAAATGTGGAAATATAATAAGTTGTATAAATATTCCCATAAATCACGAAATTTGAAGCCCTCCTCTCTCTAGATTTGATATACCAATTAATTTTTGGTATAGTCTGATATATGTTTTTTTTGACTAAGTCATGAATCGAAAAAAAAGAGCACTTACAAAACGTACATGATTTATCAAAAAAAAATTGTAAGAATTGCATGTTTAAAAAAAACAAGGTTAAACAATAATTAAATTTTAAAATGCCAACTATATAAGAAAGATTTTAAAATGGCCTCAATATTTTAGCCAAAATAATATTATGTAAGCCTTGAGATATAGCTCAAAAGTGATAGAAAGGTGAGCCCCCATTTGCCAAATCTCGAGACTCACATATTATTATTTTGGGTTGAAATCTTAATCAGGTCTTTTTTTAAAAATTCGAGTTTTACAGCACTACATAAGAATTAGTGAACTGCATCGGGCCTAATACCAAACGCGGCCCGACCTGACCGGAAGTTTTTTATTTGTCCCGAAAAGCCAACCCGAAATAAAAGTTATTTGTCCGCCAGGCCTGGATCGGCCCGAATTTATTTAAATTTATCGTAAAAGAAAATATTATACGAATAAAAAATATTGGCGCCTTATTTCTTGCAAAATTTTTTAAAATACATTAATTTATTTTATAAATTTAAATATTATTTAAACTAACCCGTACCCGACCCAGCCTGAACCAAAAAGTATTGATATAATAAATCAGCTCTTAAATTTTTTTGTTGAAGTTTTTTTTAAAAAAATTTTCGATAATATCCATTTAGTGTTGTTAAACAACTTGATTTCGCTAATTCGAAATTAAGATTTTAACCAACATAATATTGGGCAAGTCTCGAGGTTTCGTTAATAGATATCCAAAACCTTTCTACCATCTATGAGCTAAATCTCTAAGCTTGCATAGTATTTTTTTTTGCTAAAATATTAGACTACTAACCATTTTTTTAAATCGAGCCGTTTAACAATAACTACAAGGGATTCCCATTGTATCTTAAATGTTTATGTTTATGGGGATCATCATATTTAATTAAATGAATAATCTTAACCATGGGGGCTGTAAATTTTTTTAAAGAAAATTTGATGTTTAAAATAGTAAATGTACCAATATTATCTCTTTTGTAAACTAATTCAATAGAGGCGAGAGCCCCGCTGCTCCTAAGAAGTCGGCGCCTATGAATCAGCTTATCATTTGAAATATAAAAATAAACATAATCCATAAATAAAGTAAGATTATATTTTATTTACTTTTTCGTCTTATCGATGTATAATTTAATGGATTTATTTGGAATGATTTTACGAAATTCGCGATCATTTAAAATTAAAAATATTAAACAATAGCGGTTGATAACAATCATTTTTTTTAAGAAATAGTTGCAATCAAAAATGATTTTAATTTATTGGCTAAATATGACAAATAAGTTATATTAGAATATTTGTACTTATTATTAAACATATGGGACTATATATATATATAAAAGTTTTTTTTAAAACTAAACTAAACAAGCCAAATATAATTTTATTTTTATAAAATTATTTTTAAAAATGGAATTGTGGTAAAGAAATTTCAAGGCTAATATAACTATTATTTTTATTTATTTTTTTATAAAAAACTTTGTCAAAACCATTAAAGCATTAAAATGCATATGAATGTGTTGTAGAATATAATGTATTATAATATTACAATAGCGGTAGCTAACAGGTAAAAAAAAAAATTTGGCCTCAAAATAAATTAAAATATTTTTTTTTAAAAAAAGCAATCTCTTTAAATGATATTATTATGTGAAATATGTCCGAAATAGTGATGCAAAGTCGATAGCCGATTTTTAAAAACGGCTAACTCAATATTTTAGCCAAAAAAATATTACCTAAGCCTCAAGATTTCGCTAATAGATATTCAAACCTTTGTGCTATCTATGGGCAAAATATTCAGACTTGTATTTTCCTGAATAAAATACTGAGTTAGCCTTTTTTAAAAATTGGCTCAAATGGAGTGATTTTACATCAAAGTATAAACTAGGCTTTCCCAATAAGAAAAATCTTCTTTTTGTTGTTTAATTTCGTGTAAACAAAAGAAATTAGATGCCTTGAATAAATTGAAATTTGAGTTATTCAAGAGTCCATAAAAATATTGTAACCAGGGATTGAAACCTCTCTTTAAATTTGGTGGGTTCAAGTTCAGGGGGTTCAAGAGTTGAGATTTTAGAAAGGGTTCAGGTACGGGTTCAAATTTGGTAAACGCTGCAGAGGGGTTCTGTTCAAAATATCTTAAAGTTGATAATTAGTTTTGAGTGTTTTTCCCTGAATATATTTATATTTAAAATAATGCATCAAATATTCAATATTTAACAAAAACAAATAAAATAAAATAAAATAATTGTAACATTTTTTTAAAAACTCTAGATATATCTAACAACCTTCATTCAATTTTGCATTTTATTTATACCATCTAATAATTATAACAATCATCTTTCAATAATTTAAGCATACCATTTTGTTTACTTATTTATTTGTGATTTTGGCATAGGAAATTATTAATATTTTTTAATCATCTCCAAATTCAAGGAACATAACACTCAATAAAGATTTTCATTTATTTTGCCGTATAATTTTGTTATTCAAATATGGTGAGAAAAAAAATGCACTTATTGTTGTTAAAAGGCTCGATTTTAAAAAATGGCTTATTCAAGATTCAAAAAATATTTCGCAAGCTTGAAGATTTTACTCATCGTTAACAGAAAGATTTTGATATCCATTAAATAATTCTCGGGCCATGAGCGTATCTAAGATTTTTAGGGGGGGGGGGGGTATTAGGTTAAAGTTTCCCCCATAAATATTATTTAAGATCTTTAGGTCGCTTATTGAAGGCTTTTGGCTATAATAGATTTTTATAAAAATAATTTTGAGTTTTAACTTTTTTTTTATTAAAATGTTTTTTTACTAAAAATTTTAAATTATAGTCGTTATTTTAAAAAGTTATTAACTTTTATTAATTTTTCTTTCAAACTCTTCCTTAATAATTATATAAATTGTATATTTTTTGGGTGATGGAGTAGAGGTGGGGGTGGCGGGTTTATTAGCATAAGAGGATATATATTTTTAAAAACACACTTTAATATTCTTTAGAGCTTGTTATTTAATTTTGAAACTCTCATTTTGATGGAATTCTATTCCAAAATGTATAGAAGAGCAACTCTATGAATCTCAAGCAATTTCGCCATAAAATTTTGTTAATTTTTTTAATTTATATGAAAAATCTATATTATTGAAATAATCACTCTACCCTTCCCTTTTTATACATGATTAATATCGATGTTGTCTCATCCAAAAAACCTGGAACTCTAGCCTGGAAAAGCTTGGTTTAGCACCTGGGAGCTAGATTGAATTGCGTATCATGCCGGTATCTTTCAATCTCCAAAGGCAAGAAATTCCTTCATTGTCTATAAAGTCATAGACGTATTCCTCGAAGCACTTTGCGTAATAATACTATTGTGACAAGTTTTAAAGAACAAGCCCTACTTACCTAAAATCGTGACAATATTATTTGACCTTCGGACCTCAGAGTCTGGTCTCTTATAAGAACTTGAGAGGCTCATCGTATAAAACAGTGGCTAGACCTAGATCGGGCCATCTTTCTATTGGTTCTCGGGAAACTAATATTTGAAATGTTAATCATAAAATTTTGCAATTTTTTTCTGAAATCTATAATATATATAGATTGTTATATCCTTTTCTGAGATGTGAATCTTATATTATTCTTGTGAAATAAATAAGATATACAATTTTATAAAGATAAATATTTATACCTACACAAATGAGATGTGTTTCGTATTATACTTTTTAAATAAATAAGATATATAATTTAATAAAGATAAATAATTAACCCACTTCAATTCACAAATTTATTTATTATTTCTAAAAAATTTAAAAAAAAAATATAGAATGCTCAAGAATTAATTTATAAAAAGGCTAAATTGTTTGTTAATTTATATTTTATGAGTGACCATCTTGCCCCGTTCCTATCCTCGACGCCAACGGTAGACATTTTATTATAAAAAAAAATAACTATGACAATGAGAGCGACCACTATTTCGTTTAGAATCAAAACAGAAACGCGAAAAATAATTTTTATAAAAGCTAGGAGTAAATATTGACACTTTGGGAAAAATATGAAAGAAATATTTTTTTATTGGATCGAAGGGAGGGAAGGTGTTACTCAACGGATGAATAACTCTCATTCAATTTAAATACTTTTTTTATAATTTGCGCATAGAAGCAAATGCGGATAGAAAATTCTTTTTACAAAAAATTTATCGCATTCGAATATTGTTAACTATTAAAAATCTGAATTTATAAGGTTTATTTTGTAATACAAAATTAGTCAAAATAAATATTTGATATGGCACCATTTTTGTTTATAAATTGATCTGAGTAGAATCCCTAAATAAAAGAATCACCAAAAATTTTATTCCTAAACAATACAATTTAATAATTATTGATATGTTAAACTAATTCCAATATTTCATCCATTTTTTCTTTAAGGAAATATTATGGGATTAAATATATTACTTCTATATTCATTGATTGCAAATATTATCCTCATTTATTACATTTTAATCTCGGTCTATAAGACATACAGAGGTAATATTATTTGTATTTATATAAAAATTTAACAGCAAGTAAATATTTAATATCCACCAGAGACCTGCAAAGTTACCATTCGCATAACCTGGCCCGGATTTTTTTAAAATATATTACAATTTTTTTTTATAGCTAATACTGACGATTTCTAATATTTGGTTTTAAAATATTCGGCCTGGCCAGAATATTTTTTTTAAAATTTAAAGGCCCAGCGCGGGTATATTTAAAAAAATGAAAATAAAATACGGCCCGGGGCCGGTCTCGGATGAACACTATAAAAAAAATTATTTGTTGCCTAATTGGTTTTATAATCAGGGAGGGATAATCTATAAAAAAAATGTATTTGAATATAAATATAAAGAAAAAAATCTTCAAAAAATTTTTGATCTATTAAAAAATAAATTTGATTTCATATTGGAAGATTTTTTATGAATGAAAATACATAAGATTTACTAATAAAAGATTTTGTCATATATCTAGGCAAAAAAAATTTGATCAAAAATAATATCAAACGAATGCTGAAAATAAACCCACGTAGAATGGGCTGACTGGCTAAAAACCCGAGCATTGCAGATCTTTAAAAGAATTTCTGAACATAATTTTCAAGCTTAATTAATGCATGATATAATTATTATTATAATAATAAAGTGGCGTAGAAAATGGGATGGGAGGGGTGTAGAATATTTAGGGTTGCAAACATCTCTTCCCTCATGGAATATGATTAGGTAAAATTTTGTATTTTTTATAATATACTTTTATGATATCAATAAAAATATGCTTTAATTTCTTCTAAATTGATAGACCCCAATTCCCTAATTTTGTAATTTATATAAAATAATCTCAGAAAATTTATTTCTTCTTCTATTTAAAAAAAAAAGGTACACCTAAACACCAAACAAATATAAATAGATACTAAAGGCACATTTCACTTTTTAATACTTATTTTCATAAAATATTTTTTATAAATTTACATCTAAAAAATTGAAAAAAGGGACGCTTCCCAATCACGCTAAATTCGTATGGGATTGATGTTTGACGTTTTCTATATCCAATTGTAAAAGCGCACTTAGTATTAGTGTTGTTTCACAACAATTGCTCCACCATAGCACTTGAGGATATAAAATTATTTATTATAATCTTTTCCAATTTCACCGTAACCAATCCATTTTATTTTGGTATCACATTTTCCAAAGATACTACTTTGACTACTTTTATGCTACCGCTACTAAATTACAAAAACAAGGCTATAACCAGAGATAACCAGAATTCTGTATTAAAATACGATCAAAAGTTATTTCTTTAAGATGAGGATATGCTATTTTTTAAAAGATGTATATATTTCGTTTAGTTATTTTTTTTTATTATATTTTCTTTAGTGATTCTATATTTTCTGTTCAATTTTGAATCTTATTTTGCTAATACATTTTTATTTATTCCGCTTATCAAAAGGGATTGAAGCATTGAACTAAAATGTATAACTTGCTGAGACCCTGCATATTAGCCTTAGCCTTACAACTAGAACTTTCAAATGTTTAGCAAGTTTTATGCTTAGAACTGCGTCTTATGAGATTCAGATTCATAAAAATTAATTCTTAAAGATATAACCCGATTCAAAATTTGAGATTTTACCTATTTTACTTCAATATCTTTTAAGTAAGTCGAAAGGACAAATAATATCTATGATCGTTAGAATCATTCTTAATGTATGTAAGATACAATTGATTTTTAAATCGCAATTTAAATCCAATATATAAAAATCAACCAAAGACCTGCAGTTATAGTTTTAACTATTCCTTCAGCTTCTGTTTATTGATTTTAAAATGTACCTAATACGCAATAATTATTGATGTATAAGTTTCAGGTTAATGCATCTAGAATTCTGAAAAATTATGGCGAGGCACTTTTATATCATACATAAAACAAAACAAAACAAAACAAATACAATAAAATAAAATAAAATAAAATTAAAATAAAATAAAATAAAATAAAATAAAATAAAATAAAATAAAATAAAATAAAATAAAATAAAATAAAATAAAATAAAATAAAATAAAATAAAATAAAATAAAATAAAATAAAATAAAATAAAATAAAATAAAATAAAATAAAATAAAATAAAAATAAAATAAAATAAAATAAAATAAAATAAAATAAAATAAAATAAAATAAAATAAAATGAAATAAAATAAAATAAAATAAAATAAAATAAAATAAAATAAAAATAAAATAAAATAAAATAAAATAAAATAAAATAAAATAAAATAAAATAAAATAAAATAAAATAAAATAAAAATAAAATAAAATAAAATAA